AAGCAATACTTTAAAAAAATTTACACCTAAGCATTTCATTTTTTGAGTGCTCATAAATGGTATTATAGTTTTTATTTTGGTGTTTACATGTTTATTGCTAATATAGAAAAATATAATAGATTATATTAATTTTTTTGTTTTTAATCTGAAAATTAATCTCTGATTTATCTGTTAATTATTAGCAAAAATTATTGAAATAACATGATTTGAAAGTTAAATGAATGTCTCTAATTCTAGGGGGGGAGAAAATGATTATTAAATAATAAAGGTATTTTCAGCAAGGAGGAAGTATTAATATCAATTATGCTTTAGTATCACTAATAATATTAGCATTAATAAACCACTGAATTAAATGTACATCCCCACTTTACTGATTTTTCTTAGGTCTACACCTTTCATGTAAACTAAATATTATCCTTAGACCCTTCCTTCATAAAAAAAATATGGCATTTTTATCTTAAAATGAGGATATAAGGTTATTTTAAATGCTGAAAGTATTTTTTTGTCTATCTTTCATATTTCCATGAGTGTTTTTATTTATTTATTTATTTTTAGACTGGAGTCATTCAATATTTCTACATTGAAGACTGGCAATTCGTTAATGATTATCGACACCCTGTCGGCGTGAAAAAGATTTTTCCTGACCCAAACGGGACCAAATTAGTTTTCATTGATGAAAAAAGTGATGGATTTGTTTACTGTCCAGTAAGTACAGAAAAATTTTAAATGCTTGGGGGTTTTTGATGCTTTATAATAAAAAAAAATTGTTTTTTAAAGTGTATCTGACTAAAATTCTCTCCTAAACAGAGCCAAGAATTTGACTCTGTTAGGGATATCGTATTTGGGATCTCTGTTTATAACTATTTACCTCAGTACCATCTTCTCCATCATTCCGTAATTTCTCTGGTGTCAGCCCTAGAGAGATTTTTAGAAAAATAGTTATTATATTCTGTACAACTTTGACCTTATTGTTTACTGCATAGCTCAGTAATTATAATATAACTTCCCATACAGAATTTTTATCTCCAGAGATACGGTAAGGTTCCCAGGTATGGATTATGCTCTGTCCTTTCTGCCTACCTCAGTTGATTTTACTCTTTCATTAAATATCCTGAATACAAGGGAAAGGCATTCTCATACTACGTGGTTAAAAATAGAACAACTTGGGACCGGGAGGTGGCATGGTAGTTAAAGGCCCTGAATTCCCACATAGCCAACTGCAGTTCAAGTCCAAACCAGGTGACTTGCTTTCTTGCTTTCCCTTTCTCTCTCTCTGTCTCTCTCTGGTCAAATTAAAATAATAATAATAGTAACAAATGGAATTAAATAAATAATTCTTTTAAAAAAAAGAAGAAGAAAAAAGAACGACTCATTTTAAAAATCAGTTACTCCTAATTTTTTCCCATTGCCAGAGGGCTTTGCACTCACTAGAGAGAGAGAGATGGAGACACACAAAGAGGGAGAGGGAAAAAACACCTCCCTATGGGGCGTGGTCAACTGCAATCCCTTCTCCTCCATTCCTCCATCCTGTCGGGCCTTTTTGGGCACGCATGCACACGTGCTTGATATGTTTTTCAAGCCACCAGGCTGGGATTCGAACCAGAGTCATCCACATGGGTTTTCCCTCAACTAGTAAGCAATGGGACCATCCTCAGTTACTCCTATTTTAAATATCTTTAGCTTTAAAAAAAAAATAGGTTTAGAAAAAGGAAATATGGCTTTGATCCACCTTGACTTGATTTTTCTCAAAGGTGAGAGGGAGGGGTTCAGATTCATCTTTCTGCAGGTGGAAATCCAGTTTTTCCAGCACCATTTGCTGAAGAGATCTTCCTATTCCCACTGGATGGACTGGTACCCCTTGTCAAAGATCAGTTGACTGTATGTTTAGGGATTTATTTCTGGGGACTCTATTCTGTTCCATTGGTCCACATGTCTGTTTCTGTAATCGACAGCCCTCAGAATGGGAAAATATTTTTTGTAAATTATGCATCAGATAAGGGACTGATAATGAGAATACACAAGGAACTCAAGCAGTTTGGAAAAAAGAGGCACATGAAAAAATGCTCAACATCCCTCATCATAAGGGAAATGCAGATCAAAACTACAGTGAGATACCACCTAACCCCAGTCCGAATGTCTAAGATTAAAAAAAAGAAAAAATGATAAGTGTTGGCTGGGGTGTGGTGAAAGGGGAACTCTCTTACACTGCTGCTGGTAATGTTAATTAGTCCAGCCACTGTGGAGAACAATTTGGAGATTCCTCAAAAATCTACAAATAGAACTACCGTATGATCCAGCAATCCCACTCCTTGGTATCTACCCAAAGAACAGAAGAATTCTTAATCAGAAAAGTGCTTGCACATCAATGTTTATTGTGGCACTATTCACAATTGCTAAGTCATGGAAACAGCTCAGATGCCCCTGAACAGATGAATGAATAGAAAAACTGTGGCACATATACTCTATGGAATACTATTCAGCCATAAAAAAAAAAGAAAGAAAAAAACCTGGCTTTTGACAGAAAGTGGAAGAACATGGAAGATTTACTGCTGAGTGAAGCAAGCCAGGCTATGAAGGAGAGACACTGTATGTCACCACTCAATATACACCAAGTGTCCACATGACTGAAACTGATTGACTGAAGGATATACACACACAGTAAATGGGTGTAAATACCAGATATAGTGTGTGTGGAAGAGCAGGGCCTGAGGAAGGACACTTAGAAGAAAAATATGGAGGCGAAGCATTAATGGGACAAAGAAATATCTATTGAAGATATTTTATAATTTTATCAACTGGACTAGGGAGAATTATGTTCACATATTGAAATATCCACTTTGTAAGCTAAACAATGTGATTGAATGTATAAAAGAAAATGATATTTTAAAAAGTGAATTAAAAAAAGAAAAGATAAAAGAAATATGTTTTTATGTTATTGCTATACTTGGATTTTTCATTTATGTTGGATGCCCAGTTAATGGTTTTGCATGTTTAGCATGTTCTTGGTCACGGTTCACATTGCCTGCAGCTTCCCTTAGACTTGTGCTTAGCAACTGATGCCCAGGCTTTCCTGGAAGATTCTTCACTGCCCCCATGCTACCACACTTCCCTTGGTACAAAGATTTTCTTCCTCTCCCCTCTCTTTCTTTTTCTCTTTTTTTTCTTCCTTACTTTTGCCTTTATTCTCTTCCCTCTTCTTTCTTTGACAGTTATAAAAAGCTATCCTGTGAATGCCTATTTTTCTAATTTTTTAAAAATAATTTATTTAACTTTATTTATGATTATTCATAATTTGACCAGAGGCAGGCAGACAGAGGGAGAGAGGCAAAGGGAGAAAGCAAGCCGCCAGGTCTCTCTCTGTCTTTCTGGTGAGCACACGTGCCCTATAACACAAATCCTCAAAAAAAAAAAAAAAAAAAAAAAAAAAGTGGCACTATGTGCTAACTTTGGAAAATAACTTAGTCATTCTAAATTAAGGTCTTTTGGGGACCAGCAGATGGCGTAATGGTTATGTTGCTAGAGTCTCATGTAGCCGACCATGGTTCGAGTGCTGGACCCAGTGACTTAAAACAAACTTGTTCTGTTCTGAAGATCGCCCAAAAATCAAAGGAGAACATCCTGGCCTATCCATTGATGTAGCAAAGAAACTGGGAGAGATGTGGAATCACACCGCTGCAGATGACAGACAGCCAGAGGAAAAAAAGGCTGCTAAGCTGAAGGAAAAATGTGAAAACGATATTACTGCATACCGAGCTAAAGGAATGCTTGATGCAGCAAAAAAGGGAGTGGCCGAGGCTGAAAAGAGCAAGAAAAAGAAGGAAGAGGAGGAAGACAAGGAAGATGAAGAAGATGAGGAAGAAGAGGAAGATGAAGAGGATGAGGTTAAAGAAGAAGATGATGAATAAGTTGGTTCTAGTGCAGTTTTTTTTTTCTTCTCTATAAAGCATTTAACCCCCCTGTCCACAACTCACTCCTTTTAAAGAAAAAAATTGAAATGTAAGGCTGTGTAAGATTTGTTTTTAAACTGTACAGTGTCTTTTTTTGTACAGTTAACACACTACCGAATGTGTCTTTAGGTAGCCCTGTCCTGGTGGTATTTTCAGTAGCCACTAACCTTGCCTGGTACAGTATGGGGGTTGGAAATTGGCATGGAAATTTAAAGCAGGTTCTTGTTGGTGCACCGCACAAATTAGTTATATATGGGGATGGTAGTTTTTCATCTTCAGTTGTCTCTGATGCAGCTAATATGAAATAATTGTTGTTCTGTTAACTGAATACCACCCTGTAATTGGGAAAAAAAAAAAAAAGTTGCAGCTGTTTTGTTGACATTCTGAATGCTTCTAAGTAAATACAATTTTTATTTAAAAAAAGAACAGTTACTAATGAGATGTTACACATTCTTTTCATGCTAACTCTTTGAGATCCAGAATGCAGTTTATATTTGCACACATCTTCATTTGGACCAACAGTGACTGCCGTATTAGACAACATAGGCCCATAGTATTAGTTATTATTTGCGGGAATTTCATATTCTTGTTTTGAGAGGAAGACAGAGTAAGAAGGAGAGAGCCATTTTTCAGTTCTTTTCCCTTTATTTAACCCACTGGAGGGTGTGTGCACTCACAGGAGACAGAGAGGGAAAGGGCAAATAAAAACACACCCTCCATGGGGCATGGGGTATGGTCATGCCACAATCCCTTCTCCATTCCTCCTCCTTTCAGGATTCCGGGCAGGCGCACACACATGCCCATGTGTTTTTCAGGTGCTATCGGGTTGGGGCCTAGAACCATGCAGTTGGCCATGTGGAATCCAGCACCTTACCCACTACCCCACCAGTGTATAGGAATGGAAGAAGACTTTGCTAGTTATTGTGGCTGGAGTGATGTTCGGATGAATGTGGGTCAGTAAGCTATGCCAACTAAGGCTGCAAACAGCCTCCTCCCAAGGCTGATGATAATGACGTCACAGACTCGGGCAAATCTGTAACTCCTGTTTTGTAGGTTAATGATGCCACCTATGAGATTCCAGATCTTTCGCCAACCATCAAAGGTGTTCTTTGGGAAAACTGGCCAATGGACAAAGGTGTGTTTCTTGCTTATGATGATGACAAGGTATACACTTACGTCTTTCACAAGGACACGATCCAAGGTACTTAATCACTTCTTTGAACGTTTGTCCATACATGAATTTCCATTGCAATGAAATCAAAATGCTGCTTTCTGATGTCTGTGCTGAGTATCAGCTTTTAGCATTAAGAGGTCTATTTTGTAATACAGGATCCAAGGTTATTTTGGCTGGCGGCACCAAAGTACCCTTCTCTCATAAACCTTTGCTGCTCTATAATGGAGAGTTGATCTGCCAGACACAGAGTGGTAAAATAAACAACATCTACCTTAGCACCCACAGCTTCCTCAACAGCTTAAAAGATACGGGGCCGAATGAGCTGAGACAGATGCTGGCACAGACTTTAATGCTGAAAAGGTAGGGCTTCAAACATCTCTCTTGGAGCTTCTTGTTTGCTTTTGTGATTTTGAAGGTCAAATCCTATTAGATAGTTGGAGTTGATATTTATTTATTTCACAGGGTTGTTGAGAGGCTCAGATAACATACTGGGTATGAAAATGCATACACATTCCAAAGGAAGCACTTTTCTCACTTACTGTTATGGGTACTTTATTACAAGAAAGTCCTTCAGAACAAGAAGATTTCTAAACACCCAACTAGCCAGTTACTGTGAAATTTTAATAAACTTGATTATTTCAACACCATCTTAAAATTTGGCTTTTGCTGAGCTTAATTAAGGTTTCCATTACCTGCTCTTTTCACCTTCCTCTTCATGCCACTGAATTTCTTGGTGGTCCTAATTCTTCTTGAATAGCTCTTCAATGCTGTTCTTCATTGTCCCATGAACTCCCTTCTTCTCTTCCTACCCTAATTAGTCTTCCTGAGTTTTCTCCGCTTCCATGGCTTCAATACCGTCTGAATCTGTGGCTTCAACTTTGCTGCCTATAGTCATATGGACTTGGAAATCCATGAGTTCCTCAAACCTGCCCTGTGTGAAACTGAACTCATGGTCTTCCCAAGACCTCTACCTTCCCCCTTTCTAATTACACATGCACGTGACCTCACTCACTGTCTCTCTCTCTCACACACACCCCAGATCCTTCTCTTCTCTTGTGTTCACTTACGTAGGCCCTCACTAGTAATAATGTGTGTAATGCAACACTTCCACACTGCTCTTCCTGCCAGTAGTCTCATGACTGTCTCATCTGTTCTTCACACACTTTCGAAAATACGAGTTTGATCTCCTCCTTCCCCTGTTCAAGATCTCTTTGTGATTTCCCATTCCCTTTAGGAAAAAAATCCAAACTCCTCAGGGACTTGGCATGGCATACAAGCATTTGATCATTTAACGTCAGTCTCATCTTTCCCAGTCCACCTCCTCTCTGTTCAGCCAGCTGCTTGAATTGTATATTTTTCATGGTTCTTTCTGGAATACCCCAGCCCTATCTCTGAATGTAATCACTCCTCATTCTTCACCAGTCAGTGGAACATATCCTGCTCCAGGAAGCTTTTCATGACTCCCCAGCCACCATTAGCAGTTCAGGTTGGGGGTCTTCCTGATGTGCTGTCTCAGGGCTAGGCTAAACTATAGGTGGGGATGCAGAGCACTTCAAAGAAAAAAATTAAAACATATTTGTACACATTATGGAGTATAGTGCAATTTCTCAGAATATGAATATATTAAATTGTCAGGAAAGTCATGATGTATTTTTTCTGTGCAAAATGCATCATAACTTTTCTGACAACCCAATAAAATATGTAATCATCAAATCAAGTTAATGAGCATATCTGTCATCTCAAACATATATCATTACTTTGCGCTGGGAACATTAAAAATCTTCTCTTTTAGCTATTTTGAACTATACAATGAATTATTGTTAACCACAGTGACCCTACTATGCAAGAGAGCACTAGAACTTGTTCCTTCTATCTGACCATCATTTTTGGTTTTGCTAGCCAACATTTTTCTCTCCTACTTTTCCACCTCTAGTAACCACTATTCCACTCTCTATTTATATGAGGTCATAAAAACCCACTTAAAATTGATTGAACTTAAACATAAGACTTGAAACTGTAAAATTACTAGAGGAAATGCTTCGGAGCATTGATCTGAGCAAAGAGTTTTTGGATAAAACCCCAAAAGCACAAGCAACAAAAATAAAATAGACAAATAGGATAATATTAAACTAGAAAACTTAAGAACTAAGAAAACAAAAGCAATTCACAGAGCGAAGGGACAACTTACTGAATGGGAGAAAATATTTGCAAGGTTTAAGACACTTCACCACTTATCTCTGTGTGAGTTGGACTAGTCTTTTAAAGACTCTTAACCTCACGTTCTTCATCTATAAAGGAGGAATAACAGTATACTTAGTGAATAGGATAATTCAGTGAAAGAACTTATACAAAACACTTAGGACAAAGATTAACATATTGTGAGCACTTATTTATCTATCACACTTTGTTATAGTCATTGACTGTTAACGACAGCAACCAGGTGTTGGATTTTTGAATCTTGGTTCCTAGAACTGTTTCTGGCACATAAAATTGGGTTGTGGGAACAGTCATGATGCGTTTTTGCATAGAAAGACAGAAAAATAGTCATGACTTTTCTGACAACCCAAGAGATGCTCAGTAAATGGGTGTTGATAACTCAATAGATGAATGGAGTAATATATTCACTGATGTTAAGGTTTCACAGAAAGTTTAATCAGCAGGGCCAGCAGATGGCATAATGGTTGCACATCATCCCACATAGTTGACCACAGTTCAAATCCCAGACCCAGCAGCTTAAACTCATGCGTGGCACATGTGTGTGCATGCTCAAGATCCTGAAAGGAGAAGGGAGGGGAAGGGAATGTGGCATGGTCATCTCCCCTGAGGGATCATGTCTCTCACTTTCTGTCTTTCTGTCTCTCTCTGTATTTCAGCAAAAACCTCTCTTTAAAAAAAGAAAAGAAAAGGAAGTTTAATCAGTATTTATGTTCACAAAGCATACCGGAAGTCTGCCTACTTTTTCTGTTTTGAACCAAATGGTTAATACCTCAGGCTTGAAGGACTAGGGACTCTGTGACAACTATGCAAGCCAGAAGCTGCAGCACAAAAGCAGCCGTAGACAGTCCCTAGATGTGTGGGCTGATGAATGGTTGGATTCCACTCAGACTTTATTCACAAAAACAGGCAGCTGACTGGACTTAGCCCATGGGTCATGGTTCACTGAATGGTGTTTTAAACTTCTAAACTTACAGGACAGAATCTAATTTCATTAGGCCTGTGTGAGAACAAAAATAATTCTCATTTCTGTGTGTAGTAAAACAGGGCAGGTTTACAGAGAGTAGATTTTATTAATAGAAGTTCAACAACAACAGCAAAAAACATTTATTTGTACAAAAAAAGGAAGATTTCAATATTTTTTCATTACTTACAAATGACTATTACGGGTGAAGGAACAATTTGCAAAACCTCTGTAGGGTGCAATATTTGTTTGTATACAGTCTGAAGAGAGTGTTAGGTGACAAGTATGGCAGAACTCTGATGAAGCTAATGTCCTTCGATCCCAGGTTTTCTGACTCCTGGGACATCTGCAGGATTCTGAACGACAACGCTGCCTGGAATGAGTTGGCCGAAGCTTGTCTACACCACATGGAAGTGGAGTTTGCAATCCGTGTTTACCGGACAATCGGGAATGTTGGCATGGTGATGTCTTTGGAAGGAGTAAAGGTAAACAGCATTTTTATGAGAATTATCGGAGTAAGATTTGAATGCTGTTTATTCAAACATTTTCAATTTCTACAGTGACTCTTACCTAATTCCTAGTCAAGTGAATTGATAGAACATTAGTACTTCCTACTGAGCAAAGTCTTAAAAAAAAAAAAAAGAGAGAGAGAGAGAGAGAGTTAAACCTTTGTATTTTTTCTCATCAAAACCACTTTTGTTTGTAGGGAATAGAGGACTACAACCTTCTGGCGGGACACCTCGCCATGTTTACTAATGACTTCAACCTGGCCCAAGACCTGTACCTTGCATCCAGCTGCCCTGTTGCTGCCCTGGAGGTATGGAAGCACATCGGGACAGGAAGCAGACCTGCAGAGGAGAGCCCCTTTCATGTAGCTAGAATTTCTCAGGCTGGGGCCGGCAGGTGGCATGGTGGTTTAAGGCGCTGGACTCCCACATGGCCAACCACAGTTCAAGTCCTAGACCTGGTGACTTGTTTTCTCACTTTCCCTCTCTCTCTCTGATCAAACTGGAAAATAATAATAATAAATCAAGTTAAATAAAATAATTATTTTTAAAAATATTCTCAGGCTAGACACCAAATGCCTGCTCTCTCCTGAAATGCAGCATTTCACCTTTAAGATCCCCTCAGTACTCAATAAATTCAAAAATATTTCATTCTATATTCTGGGGAAGCATAAAGGCCTATAACATTACCAAACAATTTTAAATCCATATCTATCCAAAGAGAACAGACTGTGTAACTTACAAAAACAGATACAAAGAAAATAACTCCACATACTGAGTTTTCACATGCACCAGGTACTTCTCAAAGCAGTTGACATGTAATACCTCATTTGATCTTTATGATAATCCTAAGAGATAATACTGTTATTTCCTCTGTTTTCCAAATGGGAAAACTGAGGCACATTTATTATTAATGTCTGGAATTCTTTTGTGTATTAAGAGGTAAGCTAAGGACTAGTTTCCCAGAAAGGAGCAGTGTAAGAGGTATTGGAACAGAGGAAAGGACCTAGTTTAAGAAAGGGATAAAGAAAAACATGGTGAGACCAGTTGGCGTAATGGCTATGTCACTGGACTCCCATATAGTCGACCGCGGATTGAGTCCTGGACCAGGTGGTTTAAACTCACGCTGGGCGCATGTGCCTGCGTGCCCAAGATCCCGAGAGGAGAATGGAGAAGGGATTGTGGTGTGGCCATCCTCCTGAGGATGATTTCTCACTTTTTGTCTCTCATTTTTTACTGTGAGCTCACATGCCTTGTAGCCAAAATCTCTCTTTAAAAAAAAAAAAAAAAGAAGAAAAGAAAAGAAAAACATTAAGGTCTTTCTCTTCTTAACAGATGAGAAGGGATTTACAGCACTGGGACAGTGCTCTACAACTGGCAAAACGTCTGGCCCCAGACCAGATACCATTTATATCAAAAGAGTACGCTATTCAGCTTGAATTCACGTAAGTCCTCATCTTTGTATGTTTTAGTCAGTAACTGATTATCTTCGACTCTACACTGCCAATAATTATATCGTTGATATAATGATTAACTTTTTACAGAGGGGAAAAAAAAAAGTCTTAATTATGTATCTGAAAAACGTGTTCTCCGGAACCAACAGGTAGGTGGCGTGGTGGTTAAGGTGCTGAACACTCCTACATGGCCAACCACCATTCAATTCCTAGACTTGGTGGCTTGCTATCTCACTTTCCCCTTCTCTCTTTCTCTGTGTCTCTCTCTGGCCAAATTAAAATAAATGAATAAATAAAATTAAATAATTTTTTAAAAAATGTTTTCTCTTAATTTCTCACTCATCTATTTATCCATTTTGAATTTTAGCATCAAAATATAAATATGGGCCTAAGGCTTTTCTAAATTTAGAACCTAAATATCATTTGTGTGTGTGTGTGTGTGTGTGTGTGTGTGTGTGTGTATGTTACTTTTTTAATTGCCAGAAGGCGTATGCACTCACCAGAGAGAAAGAGCAGGCTAGCACACCTGCAGTGGGCATGGTCACTCTGCAATCCTTTTTCCTCCATTTCTTCATCCTGTCAGGATTTTGTGCATACACACACACACACACACACTCCCAGCATGTTCTTCAAGCCATTGGGGGCCAGGATTCAAACTATGGTTGGCCAAGTGAGATCTGGCTCCTAGGGCACAGCGCTCAACCACTGCGCTATGGGACCAATCGTAAACATTCTGAATTACATTTGACCTCAGCAGTGGTGCATGGGGTGACTCACTGTGTGTCAGAACCTACCCTTGTGATCTTAACCTCTTCAAACACTTGGGGGATTGGCAGTGTAACTTCAAGGCATAATGAAACATGCTGAGGTTTGGTCTCCGTCTTAGTTCTTGCTGCTATAACAGAATACCTGAGACCAGGTAATTTATAAAGAGCAGATATTTCTTTCTCACAGTTCTGAAAGGCTTACAAGTCTAAGATCAAGGTACCAACATCTGAGTAAGAGCCTTTTCGCTGCATCTTCAGGTGGTAGGAGCAAGTGTTTGCTAGTTCAGTTTCAACATACGTAGTCGGGTAGTTTCAACGTTTGTATTTCAAATCACAGCAGTCTACATTTCTCTTTGCTTAAAATTATAGTGTTTTTTTTTTTTTTAATTGAATTGCATGGCTGGCCCCATACCCTCTAGTGATTAAAGGAACTAGATCCTACATGACCAAATTCATGGTTTAAATCCCAGCCCCAGCAGCTTGGGAAAAAAATGGAATTGCATATAGATGAAAATTTGACATTGAAATTCAACCCAGAAGCTTTTCTTAGGATATTCAGTACTTGAATAATAATCCTTTGTGATGCGTGACAAAGCTTCACATGTCTCTCCTTCCTTTGGAAATTCCATAATCTGTTCTGAGAAGTTTAGAATGTTCTAGTGGTCTCGGGACCAGCAGATGGCATAGCAATTAGCAGTTACGTCATTAGACTCCCACATTGCTGACCATGATTTGAGTCCCAGACCTGGTGGCTTCAAACTCATGCCAGGCGCATGTGCATGCGTGCTCAAAATCCCTGGAAGAGAATGGGAGAGAAGGAATTAGGACATGGCCATCCCCCTGGAGGGTGATGTCTCTCTCACTCTCTCTGTCTCTTTCTTTCTCTCTCTCTCTCCCCAGCCAGTGCATATGCCCTAAGGCAAAACCCTCTTAAAAGAAATAAAATAATTTTCTAGTGCGCTTAATTGCTAGATCATCTTAATTGTCAATAGTCTTAATTGACAGACGACGTTTTTATTACAGTGCGATGTGTTATTTCAGAGGGAACCAGCCTCCAGGTTTAGTTAACGCGCAGCTGCTGTGGTTGCTGTTACCGGTGCAGCTGCCCTCAGAGACTGTAAATGAACGATTTATTTGCAAATGGAAGTTCATATTTGTGTGTGCCATGGCAACTACATCACAGCTGGACAGTTTATGCATTTTTAATTTGCTGTAGGGTACATGTACTCACTGGAGAGAGAGACAGACAGAGAGAGATAACCCCTGGGGGATGACTGTGCCACAGTCTCTTTCATCCATTCTCCTCTTAGGATTTTGGGCACCCACACACATGTGCCCATTCTGGGACTTGAACTACAATGTCAGCCATGTGAGATCTAAATGCCTTAGCCACCATACCACTGACTGACCCACAACTGGATGATATCTTTTGACATTTATTCTATTTAAGATACATTCCAATTTCAAAAATATTAAAATGTAGAAAAATATTGATCTTGGATAAAGGAGATACAGCCCGAATTGAATTTTTTGTGTTCGTTTCATATTGCTTTATTTAAGAGTTCTTCTTTCACTCTTCAGTAGGTTTTACATATTTCTCATAATGCTTCTTCACTCCCTGGTTCATCTAGTTCTGACGGGTTCCTCAGTGTATTCTGCAGTACAACCTCTCTTCCAAAAACTTCCTTTTACATGGAGCTAAGGAAGCCAAGTGGGCTTAAAGAGTTTAGGCTTACCTGAGCGCTAAACAAGGACCTATGGTGGAATTCAAAGAATGCCATTTTCAGAGTTTATTCATTACTCTGCAGTGGATGGTTTCTCAGAGGAAGATGGATCTCAAAAACAGTCCTAGGCAAATCACCCACTCATCCTGTCCTAAATAATGAAAATAAATTGAGGTCATAAATATGTCTTCGAGATATGCGATCTATCTTAGCATTAGTTGTGAGAATAGGTAGTATGATCACTTATGTTATGTATCATACTTTTAAAAAAATTATTTTTAATTTGACCAGAGAGGAATTAAGTGAGAGAGAGAGGGAATGTGAGGAAGCAAGCCGCCAGGTCTGAGACTCGAACTGCAGTCGACCATGTGGGAGTCCAACGCCCTCAACCACCACACTACCTGCTGGCCTCTGTATCATACCTTTTATCGGAGTAAGAACCAGGGTCCTCAGTCCTGTAATCCTCAGTGTGTTCCTCCATTTGTAGCTTTTCTTGAGTTGACAGCAACCCAGGTTCAGTACATACTATCCTGATAAATATTGGGCCTTGGGGGGAAAAAAATCATTAGTTTTTATGGTCACATGGTTGTCATTTAGTGCCAGAGGAAATAAATAGCCAGAAGTAGCTCGTAACATTTAATGTAGCTTCCCCCAAATGCCTTACAATCTAGCAGAACCCAGCTTAATTTATTTTTTAAGGTTTTTGTCATAGGGTCCACATGCTTGCCAGAGAGAGAGAGAACAAGAGAAACAGAGGAAAAGTGAGAAATCACTCCCCAGGGTGATGGCCACACAACAATTCCTTCTCTTCCATTCTTCTCCTGGGATCTGGGCATGTATGCACACATGCCCAGTTTGATTTTCAAGCCACCAGGTCCAGGACTCAAACCACAGTTGGCCATGTGGGAGTCCAGTGCCTTAACTACCATGCCACCTACTGGCCCCTAGCTTAATATTTTTAAAATAGCAAAACAGTGATGGACTGCACTTGGGAAGAATGCTTGTGTCTGTTGTATAATCTATCTTTTGTGAGCTTGAGCAACTTGGTGACAAAGATCATCTTTTAAGTGTTGTATATGTAAATAAGATACTTAACGTATCTATTGAAATACACTATGATTTTTTTTTCAGGGGTGATTATATAAATGCTTTGGCTCATTATGAGAAAGGAATAACAGGTGATAATAAGGTAACCATGAATAAAGATATGCATAATTATCTTTGGTTTTATTTTTCATTTCTTTTAAAAGATCTGGGTCTCATTTATATTATATTCAGTATCTAGCAGGTGAGCCTTCATTTCAGTTTATTAACAATTTTCGTCACAGTTTAGTAGTAACTTTGAAGTGAAACCAATTTAAAATACTTTAAGCTCATAAAAAATGGAAGATGGTAATATTTTTATTAGTCCAAAAATAATTTTTTTAGAGAGATTTTTGCGATTGGATCCATGCACTCACCCAAGAGACAGAGAAGACAGAGAGATAGAAAGCAAGAAATCACCCCCTGAGGGGGATGGCCACACCACAATTCCTTCTCCATTCTCTACTCGGGATCTTGGGCACACATGCACATTCATCCAATGTGAGGTGAAAGCCACTGGGTCCAGGACTTGAACCGTGGTTGACTACATGGGAATCCAGCTACGTAACTGTGATACCGTCTGCTGGTCCCTGAAAGTAAATTTTTGTATTGTATCCTAAATATAAACTTCTAATTAAGGTTGAAGTAAAATTTTTATCCCTACTTCTAATTAAGGTTGAAGTAAAATTTTTATCCCTTCCCACTTACAAGCCAATATAACTCAATGAAAGTATCGATGAAAAATTAAGATACATCCAAAAAGTAGAATATTAGAAGTTCTTAAAAGATTAAAACAGATCGGGGGGTCAGCAGGTATCATGGAGGTTAAAGCACTGGATCCCACATGGCCAACTGCATGGCTCAAGTCCCAGACCCAGCAGCTTGAAAATCACACTGGGTACACATGCCTGTATGCCCCAAATCCCAAGACACTGGACGAATAGGGATTGCAGTGTAGCCATTCGCATGGGGAGCGATTTCTCACTTTCCTCTCTCTCTCTCTTCTGTGTCTCTCTAGCAAGTGCACATGCCCTTAAAAAAAGAGAGAGAGAGACTAAAATAGATTCTTATGTACTGACTTGGAAAGACCACGAAGAAAGCAAAAAACTTTCAGTAACCACTTTCAGAATAAATAGCCAGTCCCTGAACATATGTTTCGCCATTTTATCTCTTGCACGGTTTCCTTTAAAACGAACTTGGAAAGCGTGTACTCACTGGGCCAGCCCATTCTCATGCCAGAATTTTAGCTCAAGAAGCTGAATTTTACAATACAAATTGGTGTTTCTGAGTCAGATGATATCATTTAAAAGTTGGAAAATTTAACATTTTCTACTTATAGCTAATATTTGTTTTTAAATTGCCAGAGGGTGTATACACACACCAGAGAGACAGAGAAGGAGAGAGAGAGAAAGCATCCCCATGGGGAATGGTCACACCACAATCTCTCTTCCTCCATCTCTTCCCTCCTTTTAGGATTTGGGCTTGAGGACACATGGGCCTGGCGTGCTTTTTTAAACATGTGGATCCAGGACTCAAACCACCCAATGGCCATGTGGATCTAGTCCCTTAACTACCAGGCCACAGACTGGCCCTGTGTCCAGCAGTTTTATTACAAAAGAAATGCAGGCTCATTGCTTTCAACTTTAAAAAATCACCAAAGAATATTAACATTAGGAATCCAATATTCTCTTCTCCATCCATCCCTTAAGGGTAACCACAGTTAATGAGTTCATATATTTCTATCTGGAACGTCTTCTAAACATGCAAATACATGGAGGGATTTTTATAAAAAGTGAGAGTATTCACATCTACCTATTCAGCAAAGACTAACAGAGCATCTGCTCTGGGCAAAGCAGCATTTTGCTTTGTTCATGGCTTTCCAAGTCTGCTCACATGAATCTGTTTTAATCTTTTAAGAGCTTCTAATATTCTATTGTTTGCATGTATCAGAATTTTCCCATTCTCTTATTGAATTATAGTTGATTATAGTTGTGATTTTTCTCCCTGTTGTCAAAAATATTACCAAAACTGCAATGAATATTCTATCTATCTTCACTTAAAACAGTATTCCTGAAGGATATATATAGTCTTATGAGCAAAATATATTAGTTGCAGTGTGTGCATTTAATTTTTGATATTGCTAATTTGCTTTCACCAGAAATTGTAGTAATTCAAATACCAATCGATTGTATATGATAGGGTCTATGTCCCCCATATTTTCAACAATGAATAAGAAATCACCCCCTGAGGGGGATGGCCACACCACAATTCCTTCTCCATTCTCTACTCGGGATCTTGGGCACACATGCACATTCATCCAATGTGAGGTGAAAGCCACTGGGTCCAGGACTTGAACCGTGGTTGACTACATGGGAATCCAGCTACGTAACTGTGATACCGTCTGCTGGTCCCTGAAAGTAAATTTTTGTATTGTATCCTAAATATAAACTTCTAATTAAGGTTGAAGTAAAATTTTTATCCCTTTCCACTTACAAGCCAATATAACTCAATGAAAGTATCGATGAAAAATTAAGATACATCCAAAAAGTAGAATATTAGAAGTTCTTAAAAGATTAAAACAGATCGGGGGGTCAGCAGGTATCATGGAGGTTAAAGCACTGGATCCCACATGGCCAACTGCATGGCTCAAGTCCCAGACCCAGCAGCTTGAAAATCACACTGGGTACACATGCCTGTATGCCCCAAATCCCAAGACACTGGACGAATAGGGATTGCAGTGTAGCCATTCGCATGGGGAGCGATTTCTCACTTTCCTCTCTCTCTCTCTTCTGTGTCTCTCTAGCAAGTGCACATGCCCTTAAAAAAAGAGAGAGAGAGACTAAAATAGATTCTTATGTACTGACTTGGAAAGACCACGAAGAAAGCAAAAAACTTTCAGTAACCACTTTCAGAATAAATAGCCAGTCCCTGAACATATGTTTCGCCATTTTATCTCTTGCACGGTTTCCTTTAAAACGAACTTGGAAAGCGTGTACTCACTGGGCCAGCCCATTCTCATGCCAGAATTTTAGCTCAAGAAGCTGAATTTTACAATACAAATTGGTGTTTCTGAGTCAGATGATATCATTTAAAAGTTGGAAAATTTAACATTTTCTACTTATAGCTAATATTTGTTTTTAAATTGCCAGAGGGTGTATACACACACCAGAGAGACAGAGAAGGAGAGAGAGAGAAAGCATCCCCATGGGGAATGGTCACACCACAATCTCTCTTCCTCCATCTCTTCCCTCCTTTTAGGATTTGGGCTTGAGGACACATGGGCCTGGCGTGCTTTTTTAAACATGTGGATCCAGGACTCAAACCACCCAATGGCCATGTGGATCTAGTCCCTTAACTACCAGGCCACAGACTGGCCCTGTGTCCAGCAGTTTTATTACAAAAGAAATGCAGGCTCATTGCTTTCAACTTTAAAAAATCACCAAAGAATATTAACATTAGGAATCCAATATTCTCTTCTCCATCCATCCCTTAAGGGTAACCACAGTTAATGAGTTCATATATTTCTATCTGGAACGTCTTCTAAACATGCAAATACATGGATGGATTTTTATAAAAAGTGAGAGTATTCACATCTACCTATTCAGCAAAGACTAACAGAGCATCTGCTCTGGGCAAAGCAGCATTTTGCTTTGTTCATGGCTTTCCAAGTCTGCTCACATGAATCTGTTTTAATCTTTTAAGAGCTTCTAATATTCTATTGTTTGCATGTATCAGAATTTTCCCATTCTCTTATTGAATTATAGTTGATTATAGTTGTGATTTTTCTCCCTGTTGTCAAAAATATTACCAAAACTGCAATGAATATTCTATCTATCTTCACTTAAAACAGTATTCCTGAAGGATATATATAGTCTTATGAGCAAAATATATTAGTTGCAGTGTGTGCATTTAATTTTTGATATTGCTAATTTGCTTTCACCAGAAATTGTAGTAATTCAAATACCAATCGATTGTATATGATAGGGTCTATGTCCCCCATATTTTCAACAATGAATGTTATGGATCTCTTTTTATTTCTACCCATTTATTTAGCAAAAAAATGTATAATTTTATTTTGTGTGTATTTGTTATCAATGAAGTTGAGAATGTGTTTTTTGTTTTGTAAGATAGATTTTTGCTGTAGGGCACATGTGTTCGACAGAGAGACAGAGACAGACAGACAGAAAGTGAGAAATCACTCTCCAGGGGGATGGTCACACCATAATCCCTTCTCCTCCATTATCCTCTTGGGATTTGGGGCACACATGCACATGCACCTGGTGTGAGTTTCAAGCCACTGGGTCCAGGAATCCAACCATGGTCAACTACGTGGGAGTCCAATGACACAACCATCAAACCATCTGCTGGTCCCATGGGGTTTTTTGGCTGATTTTTTTGGCTTTTGTTTATTTATGAATTGCCTGATCATATCTTTTGCTCATTTATCTCTTGGGTTTTAATATTTTTGTTTGTTTGGCCATGGCTATTTTTGTTCATTCTTTATCTGTGCTGCCATATACAGCAACAATTAGCCACAAGTGGCTATTTAAATTATTTTAAATTAAAATATAAAATTCAGTTCTTCTGTCACTAAGAATGCAAATAGCCATGTTTCAAGAGCCCAGTAGTCATATGAGACTTTTTTTTTTTAATGTGAGAGAGAAAGTAAGCATACATGCTGGGGAGAGAGAGGGAGAGGGTGAGAAGGAATTTTTTTTTAGAGATTTTTGCTATGGGGGAGACAGAGACAGACAGAAAGTGAGAAATCATCCCCCATGGGGAATAGCCATGCTGCAATCCCTTCTCCTCCATTCTCCCCTTGGCATCTTGGACATGCACGCACACATGCCCAGTGAGAGTTTTAAGTCAGTGGGTCCAGGACTCGAATCACGGTCGACTACATGGGAGTTCAGTGACGTCACCATTATGCCATCTACTGGTCCTGAGAAGGGATTTTTGACAAGAGTCTCATCATTGTGGTCCTCTGTCCCAGCCTCCAGTCTGCTGGGGTCACAGATGTGCACCACCACACCAGCCTGTTCATGTCTGTCTGGGATCCAAAGCCAGGCCTCCCATGTGACCCCTACCTTCTGCAGGGGTGCTCCACTATGTCTGGGCCACTGTCACTATTAGCTGTCTTATTAGACAGGGTAGATGAGACCACTGCTACCATGGTGACAGGTTCTACTAGACAAAATACAAAATATAATCAAATGTTACATTTTATTAGTGCAGAGTCATTATTCTGAAAGTTCTTTAGTTACCTTTGTTATCTTTAATGAAGTAGACAATTCTAGATAAATAAAGTTTTTATGTTTAATCATGCCTAGCAGAGAAATCTCAAATTTGAGAAATGGTTTTCTACTCTATTTTGTTCATATAGCCAGTATATTACCTCTTCCATAAAATTTTATGCCAAGGAGACATACCATGTATTATGACAAGGGGTAGTGAAAATTTGATCTTTTGCATAAAAGATGTAGACTTCTGAAGACAAAGAATTATACTTTGTAATAGCTGATGTTAAAAAAAAAAATCCTCAGTGTTATTTAAAAATGACGAGACGGCTCTAAAAAGATGAATGAAAGTAAATGGTAACCTTGGGACTCGTTTTAGATTTAAGTGAATTGTTCTGGCTGAACTTAGCAGCACGCAATGAGGGTCTGATTTCCTCGGATCTGCCTTGTGACTGCAGGAACACGATGAAGTGTGTCTGGCTGGAGTGGCCCAGATGTCCATACGGATGGGGGACATACGCCGAGGAGTGAGCCAGGCCCTCAAGCATCCCAGCCGGGTCCTGAAGAGAGACTGTGGAGCCATACTGGAGAACATGAAGGTCTTTTCTCTGTATAAGTACTTCTGTGGTCTTATACCTAATCAATTTAGTATTGTAACCATCCTGTACTATTTTAGCAATTTTCAGAAGCAGCCCAACTCTATGAAAAAGGCCACTACTATGATAAAGCAGCGTCTGTTTACATCCGCTGTAAGAACTGGTAAGAGAGAAACAAACTCAGTAGAGGTGGGAGGGAAATGCCCCAAGAGTCTCCCCACTTGCATCCCTACTGTTTTTCTTCCATGGACCGGCCCCCTATCTGGACCTCCCCTCTGTCTCTTTTCTTCTCCTTAGAAGCATATTAATAACTCTTTAAAGTGTACTTATGGACTCATTCATTCATTCATCCCATGAGTGAGAGAGAGAGACAGAGACAGAGAGCACCCCTTGCAGGGTCCTGAAACCACAATCCACCCCCAGTCTCTAGCCAGCCCCTTAGCATGCATGCCTGGTGAAGTCAGGGAAGGCTCCAGACTTAAACTAGGAACCTTCCCACATGGAATTTCCTTGCAGAAAATCATGTTTTACCACTGCTTCACCATCCAGCCCCTTTATTAGTTCTTTTTCCAAAGAACAGCATGTTCTCTGGTTTGATATGGGGAAATCTCTGATTAGATAAATTTTTTTGGGGGGGGGCGGGGGACCAAAAACTCTATTGTCTCAAAAGAGTTAGTGAACTAACCTTCATTTGTCAACCCTTGGAGGAGGGGGTGAAGGATGGGTGCATATTAGGAGAAAAATCCATTAAATCTGTTTTTATACATAGTAGCCAAGATTTCAAAAGATCATAACTGCTTTTGAATCCTAAAAACCAACATTTGTTGTAGGAAGCTGTAGCCAATATAGTGTTGATGTCATTGTCCTGAATCTCTTTCTAGGGCAAAAGTTGGTGAGCTCCTCCCTCACGTTTCCTCTCCTAAGATCCACCTGCAGTATGCCAAGGCTAAAGAAGCAGACGGCAGGTTTGTACGGCATCGCAAATTGATCTCAACTTAGAACAATGCAAATTTTGCAGAATAACCACTTACATTTGCAACTGTCTATGAAAGACAAAACAGAAATAAAACATCTTTGAATAGCATACTCCTCATTGGCCTGAAATGCCGGACTATTATAGTACTCCTTCCCCTTATAAACCCCTTTTTATTTTTTATTCAAATATAGTCTACCACCTCTCTTATTTGAGAGTTAAATACTAGAAGTTGAAGATTTTATATACTATGGCATGAAAATGAAGAGACTGCCCCTTTATTAAGGAGGATAACTCAGGCATGTAAAGGGAGAGAAGAATGAAGAAAGATGAATTCCACGTGGATGGCTGTACCGTTTAAGCCACAAACCAATACTGGAATACAGCAATGAATAATTAATAGCCTTAATGTTCAAAGATCTCCTACAACTTAATAAAAGAATCTCAAAAGGAATAAATAGAAAATTGGGCTAAAGACAAGAGGACAAGTCCCAGAGGAAGAAATACGATCATGAAATTGTTTTCCATGTAAATGAAAAAAAAGTTCTACCTCACTAATAATAATTAAATTACAGCAAGCTATCATATTAGGAAAGATTAGAAACTAAATAACCATACCGTCAAAATGCACTTGCTACTCACAACCCATAGAAATGTGTATTTCTCGGGACCAGCAGTTAGCGTAATGGCTATGTCACTGGACTCCCATGTAGTCGACCGCGGTTTGCGTCCTGGACCTGGTGGCTTAAACTCACACCAGGCGCGTGTGCGTGCGTGCCCAAGATCCTGAGAGGAGAATGGAGGAGAAGGGATTGTGACATGGCCATCCCCCCTGGGAGGGTGATTTCTCACTTTCTGTCCCTCTCTGTCTGTCTGGCAAGTGCACGCGCCCTATAGCAAAAACCTCTCCAAAAAAAAAAGAAATGTGTATTTCTACAGTCTTTGAAAGCAACTTGGAAGCATATGTTGTATCTGGAGACTTAGGATTATTAATAGCCCAGACTTTTATCAAAGTAATCACAGGGAGACCAGGGAGAGGCATAGAGGCTGAGTGTCCCATATGGCCAATTGCAGTTCAAGTCCTGGACCCGGTAACTTAAAATTCATGCAGGGCGTGTGTGCGTACATGCTGAAAATCTCAAGAAGAGAATAGTGAAGAAGGGATCGTGGTGTGGCCACCCTCCCCCCCCAGGGGGTGTAAGTTCTCACTTTCTGTCTCTCTGTCTCTCCAGCTAGTGCACATGCCCTATAACAAAAATCTCTCAAAAGTAGCATTAGGAAATGGAGATGTAACTAAATGTCTTGTTGACATCTAAAGAACTGAAGATCTAGTTGCTGCTGAAGAGAGTCCTGAGCGCCCTCTACAGATCAGTACACAAAAGTTTTTTTTTTAATTTTTATTTATTTATTCATTCATTTATTTTTTAATTTGATCAGAGGGGGAGAGAGAGAGAGAGAGAAAGTGAGAAAACAAGCCACCAGGTCCAGGACTTGAACCGTGGTCAGCCATGTGGGAATGTCCAGCACCTTAACCACCACGCCACCTGCTGGTCCCAGTACACAAAGTTTTCATATACCATTCTTACACCACATCAATAATTGTGACTAATTCTGTATTTTGTTTATTAAACAGTCCTTAATTACTGTCATAATCTTCCTACCCTAAAAGGAAAATTTACAGTAAAATATAAAAAGTTATAGAGCTTTGATTCATATGGAAAAATGCAGTTCAATATTGGTAGTTTACTGTTAGTTTATCAAAACTCTAAAAAGAACATATCTTAGAGGAATAGTTCTGGTATTTTTTTCTGATGAAGGAAAAAAAAAATTTTGAGAAAAATAAGTGAAATAGAAAAGTGTCCCGAATGTTTATGGGCATTCCCCTCCTCCAAATGGAAAGTGCTGAAGTTTGTCTGAATGAAATATTTCTCACAGGTACAAAGAAGCTGTTGTAGCCTATGAGAATGCAAAACAGTGGAACAGTGTGATCCGTATCTATCTGGACCACCTCAACAATCCCGAAAAGGCTGTCAGTATTGTCAGAGAGAGCCAGTCTCTGGATGGAGCCAAAATGGTAGCCAGGTAACATAACGCACTAATATTTTTGGACTTCCAAAAACTAACCTTAAATGAAAACTCTGTTGGCCCCGCTGCAGTGGCATAAGCAGTAGGGTCCTGCTGTATGAGGCTGTGGCCACATGGGAGGCCCGCACTCAATTCCTAGATCGACCTGAACAGGCTGGACTTGGTGGTATGCACCTAAGTCCTACTAGCTAGGGGGCGGACTGGGCAGAGGCTCACAGAGATAAAACTCTCAAAAATGTGTCTTCTCTCTCTCTCCCTTTTCCTCTTGCTCTTTCTCTTGCTCTAAAAAATAATAATGATAATAATAATAATAATAAAGCAAAGAAAACAAAGAAGGAAAAAAATAAGGGGCCAAAATATGGCATGGTGATTAAGGCACATGGTTCCCACATGGCCAACCATGATTCGAGTCCTAGACCCAGAGCCTTGAAAGTCATACATGTGTGCACTCGTGCCCAAAGTCCCAAGAAGAGAATGGCCATTCCCTGGTGTGTGTGGGGCGGGGTAGGTGGTGAATTCTCACTTTCCCTCTGTTTCTGCGCTCTGCAATGAGCCTATGCTCAAAAACTTAAAAAAAAAAATTTTTAATTAAATTTAAGAAAGTCCTATTACCTCCTATCAAATAGATAAACTCAAAATAAATATTATTTTTAATCCTTTTATTAGGTTTACATGTTTAAATTCAAAGGCTTTTAGCTGTGTTCAGCATATTAGAGTATGTTTTTCAAGTATAAGCCTAAAATGTAGAATTGCAGGGTATCTCATTCATTTTTGTTTTTAAATGGTTTCTCCTGGTTGAGAAACTTGACTTGTAAATCAAAAACCTATAGGAGTTGGGACCAGAAGTTAGCATAATGGCTATGTCACTGGACTCCCATGTAGTCGACCGCCGTTCGAGTCCTGGACCCAGTGGTTTAAACTCACGCCAGGCGCATGTGTGTGCATGCCCAAGATCCCAAGAGGAGAATGGAGGAGAAGGGATTGCAGTGTGGCCAGCCCCCGTGGGGGGTAATTTCTCACTTTCTATCTCTCTGTCTCTCTCTCTCTCTTTCTGGCAAGTGCACACGCCCTATAGCAAAAAAAAAAAAAAAAAAAAACCTTGTAGGAGTCAGGTTAAATAAACTATTTTGTTTTAGGTTTTTTCTACAGCTCGGTGACTATGGGTCTGCCATCCAGTTTCTTGTCATGTCCAAATGCAACAACGAAGCTTTCACCCTCGCTCAGCAACACAATAAGATGGAAATCTATGCAGACATTATTGGTAAATACAACTGTTTTCCCTGATTTCTCTTTAAAATTTTTACCATATGGGGCCAGCAGGTGGTGTGGTGGTTGGGGGCGCTGGACTCCCACATGGCTGACTGCGGTTCGAGTCCTTGACCTGATGGCTTGTTTTCTTGCTTTCCCTCTCTTTCTCTCTTTCACTCTGTCCTCCTCTGGTCAAATAAAAATAAATAAAGTTAAATGAAATAATTTTTTTTTAATTTTACCATAAAAACACTCTGACTCTTATGATCTAAAGATCAGAATGGGGTGCAGCAAGAACACCCCACTGTAAGTAAACGTATACCAGATATTCACAGGCACACACATATCTCTGTCACTTGCTAGATTTCAAGATCCCTACCACTCACAGGTAAGATGTTACTATAAGTGACTCTTTTTAAGAATTAATGTTTTTGGGGGGTAAATTTCAAGAGACTAGATTTTCTAATCCTGCTATGTATCAACCAATTGTGGTAAAGCAAGTTTTCAAAACAGAGGCTTTAGGAAATGCAGGATTTTTGAACATGTAAATATTTTAATAAATTTTTAAAACCAAGTTATAAATTAAGAATATATGATTGCTTTGATGAAGAGTAGTATTCAAAAGACGTGTTTTCTTTTTTAAAGATTTTGAAGGTCCATATTAACATTTTGTATTCTGAGGATACCTGCTTCTAGGTTTTCTTTCCCATCTTTGCAATTATTCTTTGAAACTACTGAAATAGGGGCTGGTCGGTGGCATGGTAGTTAAGGATGCTGGACTCCCATATGGTTGGCCATGGTTCGAATCCTGGACTTGGATGGTTTGCTTTCTCACTTTCTCTCTCCCTCTTGCTCTGTCCCTTTCTGGTCAAATTAAAATTAAATAAACAAATAATAAAGTTAAATTATTCTTTTTTAAAAAAAACTATTAAAAAAAAGAAGCTGCTTAAATAATTTTCATATTTTAGTTTAATGAGTCATACATAATGTTACTTGTATTGCTTTGCTTTTTTTTAATTGTGGTAAAATATACATAAAATTTCCATTTATAATTGTATAGCATGGTTTTCTTAAGTATTGGGTTGTTTGAAAAATCATAATGTATTTTTCTGTGCAAAAATGCATAATGACTTTTGTGAGACCCAAAATGTTGTTTTCTTGTGTTTTTGATTTTTTTTTAAAGGTTTTTGCCATAGGGCATATGCACTCGGCAGAAAGAAAAGAGAGAGAGATAGTGAGAGGGAAAGTGAGAAATCACCCCCAAGGGGAATGGCCATACCACCATCCCTTCTCCTCCATTCTCCTCCTAAGATTTTGAGCACACACACACATGCACCCAGCATGATTTTCTTTTTTTAAAGAATTATTTATTTTATTTATTATTATTATTTTCACATGAGTTTTACCAGAGAGAGAGAGAGAAAGCCACTAGGTCCAGGACTGAGACCACAGTCAGCCATGTGGGAATTCCAGCTCCTTAAGCAACACGCCACCTGCTGGTCCCACCCAGCATGATTTTCAAGCCACCAGATCTTGGACAAGAACCATGGTGGGCTCTGTGGGAATCCAGCACCTTAACCACTGTGCCACCTGCTGGTCGTATTAAGTACTGTTCATCTCTACAACTCTCATCATCCCAGATTCTGTGCCCACTAAACAGGAACTCGCTATTTGCCACCTGCCTCCCCCAAGACCCCGGTAACCGATATTTTATTTTCTGTCCCTGAATTTGACTATTCCTAGGTTCCTCATGTAAATGGAGTAATAAAATATTTAAACTTTTATGCTATTTCAGTCCTTTTCAATTTATAAATAACCATAAGAACTGATGATAGAATTGATGAGAAAAATGTTGCTTCAGTAATTAAGGGAAGAGACAGGTGTAAGCATCTGTTAACATCTAGGGATGTTATCATTAAGATAACTGGGAGATAACTGTCTCTTTCCGGCAAGCACACACGCCCTCTGGCAAATATGGGGTTTTTTTGGAGAGGTTTTTGCTATAGGGCAGGTGCACTCACCAGACAGACAGAGAGAGACAGAGAGACAGAAAGTGAGAAATCACCCCCAAGGGGGGATGGCCATGCTGCAATCCCTTCTCCTCCATTCTCCTCTTGGGATCTTGGGCACGCACATACACGCGCCTGGCATGAGTTTAAGCCACCAGGTCCGGGACTCGAACTGCGGGACCCAAACTACGTGAAAGTCCAGCAACATAGCCATTACGGTAACTGCTGGTCCTGGCAAATATTTTTTAAAAGGTACCTATCATATGAACATCTTCCCACCCCAACAGCATACACACTGGTCTCTACCTGGCTTTATGCCCTTTTCTTATACACATTTTTTTTTTGAGAGGTTTTTTTTTTTTTTTGCTATAGGGCACGTGCGCTTGCCAGACAGACAGAGAGAGACATAGAGACAGAAAGCGAGAAATCACCCCCCAGGGGGGATGGTCACGCCACAATCCCTTCTCCTCCATTCTCCTCTCGGGATCTTGGGCACGCATGCACACGCACCCAGCGTGAGTTTTAAGCCACCGGATCCGGGACGCGAACCATGGTCGACTATGTGGGAGTCCAGCGACATAGCCATTACGGTAACTGCTAGTTCCCTCTTATACACTTTTTATCTGCCTTTGGTTGTCATTATATGTCAGGATCCTGTTGGGTCTCCAACTCCACGGGTAAACATAAACAGTGGATCAGAACTCCAGCCACTTTGGGGGTCCACTTTTCTATGTGCTTAATATATTTAAGTCCCAAACCAAAGAAAAAGAAAAACACATAGTAATAGAGGAAAATAATAATATCTTAAAAGAAAAAGAATTAATTTTATTTATTCATTTATTTATTTATTTTATTTTTTTAATTTGACCAGAGAGAGAATGAAACAGAAAGTGAGAAGCGAAGCCACCAGGTCCAGGATTCAAACAACAGTCGGCCATGTGGGAGTGTCCAGCACCTTAACCACCATCCCACCTGCTGGTAATATCATTAGCATCTGTTGGCCACTTGAAGATCATCTTGACAAATACATACAAACTGTTGTTTCAGCCATTCGCTTCTGAGAAGGGGAAGTGGTTACCTTTGCTTCTGATCGTTCCGAAACTCTAGGCAAATCATGGTTGAGGTTATAGTCGTGGTTGTTCCCGCTGCCTTAGGAGGTGAGACTGAGACTCGTGAAGGTCTGCAGGGCTAATGGCAAGTGATAACCCAGATTCTCACAAGAGCTCATCATTTCCTCTCCTGATTCCTGTTTAGAATGGAAAGAAGATGGAACAGAGTTGGTGTT